ATATCGATGTTCAGCTGAATATGAGGAGTTTGTTACATCAACGAAGTTCCCAGTATTCGATGCCAATGGACCCCACCCTATCTTGGATGTTTTAAGTTGAATTTTGATGGCAGTTATTTGAAAAACCTGGAATATGCTGGTTTTGGAGGCGTAATATCAGGGTTTATAGATACCACAATAAGGTTGTGGCTTTTAATCATGTTTTTAAGGAAGCGAATGAAAGGGCTGACTCGTTTGCTAAGGATGGAGAGTTGACCCGTTTTTGGTGCTCAATTCTTTTTCTTTTTAATTATTGTGTTTGTCATCTTTTCACTGTAATAATTGGTTTGATTGAGTAATAAAATCATTGTGATATTGTCGAAAAAACACACAAATTATTTCTCATGCCATATGAATCAATTTTAAATATATAAAGAATATTGAAATATTGAACATGAGCAAGGCAGGTAGAGAAAGACATCGGTGATGCTCTTGATAATAAAGAAAACTCGAAACACTTAATTTTTTCTCTTTTCTTTAGAGAGAGGGAGAGAAAGTGTTTATAAGGGAGGGTAAGAGAGACATTCATATCGATCCGTTAGTGGAGGCAATCATTTAAAAAATGACCGAAATAAATATCCTTTTAGTTTACCTTTAGTTATAAAAACTAAATAGTATAGTATATAAAGAGTTAAATCCCTTTTTTCTTCAATTAATTTTTCTTATGTTATTTTCCCTTCTTAATGCTTTCCCCCATTTTATAGGTCGGACGTTGTTGGGCGATGCCTTCTATTTTATCCTTTCTTAAACATACATTATGTTTTCTACTTTTTAATGAATTATCTCTTTTACCATCATAATTATTACATTTTCGAAGCATAAATTGAACACTTATTTTTGTGCTTTTTAGGAATAAATCATACAAAATTCTATCTAACATCTTGCGGTTTTACTTATAAATCATAGAAAAATTTATTTAACATCTTACTATTTTACACGTAAATGATACATAATTATATTTAAACATCTTACCGTTTTCCACATTATAAAAATTAGAAGCGTATGGGTTGGTAACAAGTTACAAACAAAGGTGAAAAGCGTTGAGGTTGCCCAATGAGGAGAGGAGATGTGGGCCACGCCGCCCCTCTTTTAAAAAAAACATTCCAAAAGAAGACCGTGGGAGAAGTAGTGGGTTTTTTGATACAAATCGGTTGTGGGGAAACCAGCCGTTCGTTAATACTTCATGGGAACCGGTTCCCCTGACAAGTGTCAATCCGAATCGGACCGGAACCAGTTCCCCTAACAAGTGTCAATCCGAATCCGATAGGAACCGATTTACGCTTGACAATTCTCGATCAGAATAGGCCGATTACAATTTAGATCAGCATTTTTTAAAGCATTGCATAAGATAATGTACTTTTAGTATGAGGACGTGAAAAGACGTAATTTTAGTACGAGGACGGCATGAATTAGCCTTAACCAATATATATGAAATCCAAATCTTTTTCTTAGAAGTAATCTACAAACACTTTGATCCCAAAATTTCAAATGATAAAAACGAAAGATGTGGTTTGCATAAGTTTGCAATCTTAAACCATCAAATTAAGACGTCTGTCAAGTTAATATGGAAGGTGTATATTGTAATTAGTATATATGAGAAGGGTAGTTATAATATTTAGTATTTTATGGTATGTCTGGGTATATTATATATATTTGTGATTTATTTATTTATATTTATCTATTTAAGATGAGTTTGTATATTCATATTGAAAAATAGACATCGAGTCTTTTCAGAGAAAACTGATACACTTCACATGATATCTAGGTTCATCTTCGCCTTGTCCATTCTTCATCCAGATTTAAAATGTAGTCTCAAACAAGACGAGTCTATTCCTTACTCAGTAGTCTGCAGGGCTTGTAACATTCCACAAGAATATCATACGCTTCATCATGCATTCTGACAATGTACCCATGCCACATTTGGGAACACCGGTGGCACAATCTCACGAACCTCTTTTACTCGGTCCGTCCTGTGGTCTTGGCCCATCAGCCCTCGTCCTTCGCTTGGTAAACTTGATCAACTTCTTTGAATGTGAACAAGAGAAAAACCTCCAAATCTGAGAGCATGGTTTCAAAACTCAGCCGAGGCAACTCGGACATGGCTGAGTAACTCAGCCTCACCCTATAGGCGAGGCGATGCGAGTTTTAACCAAATAGGTTGTACATCATTTTTTGAACTTCAAATATATTATCACGTCAACTTTATTTCAGCTCTGCTTGAATGTTTTATTGCGTAGCTCTACTGCTTAGGTTTTGCCGCTTCGAATCAAGTTAGAGCCCACCTTCAAATACTGTTGAGAAATGTGGTTTCAATAGTGAAAATATTTATGATAACTTTAAAACATATTTTCATCTTTGATTATGACATTTTAAGCTCAAAAAATAGTGTAGATCGAACAGATCTATGAAAACTTAGAAAATCTTAAAAATTGATGGTCTAGATATGGATTACAAGATGCACTATTTTGAAAACTTAAAATCTAGACATCCTGATGTGGAGATAATCAATTTGAGAATATTTGAGCATCAAAACATCTTCAAGTGAAAATTTTGAATTAGGCTCTAATTTGGCTGTTTAGAGCCTCCCTTTTTTAATGGTTCCAATTTCCAAAATCTATTTTTTTTAGTTCCCTTTTTTAATAGCTCCAAAATCTATTTTTTTGAGTTCCAACAAAAGAAATGGTCGATGCGGACACATCTTCAGGAGAGGTCCTTTACGAAGGGAAGGCTAACCCACATGCCTGCTTGCAAAATTCTATATCAAGATGGCACTAATAATATATATAATAACATTTTTTTTTTCCATTTTCTTAAAAAAAAAAAAGAAAAAAGAAGAAGCTGGACATGAGTTACTTGAACACGCCCGATTTAATCACGAGTACCTTGGTCGAATCGATTTTTTGAACATTGTCCAAGAGCATCACTTTGTTTTCAAAAGAGAAAACAAGAAACAGTTCCACCATTTTGCCTGTTTATCCTCTAGATCTCGATCTCAGGATCTAGATTCGTCTATAATCTGACCCACTTAGTCATAAAATCAAGTTTGTCCAAAGATCTATATGAAAGTCGAAACATGACGTACCTCTAAATTTTACTATAACATGTAATTTTACTATAAAAAGTTTTTACAATGGCCTAAGAATCTATTTTCATCTCTATCACAAAATTTTAAACTCCAAAAATGGTTCAACAATGGCCTAAGAATCTATTTTCATCTCTACCATAAAATTTTAAACTCCAAAAAATGGTTCAACTCAAGCAGATCTGTAAACTTTTGAAACTCAATTTATTTTATTTATTTTTCATATTCATACATCTCGATATCGAAATGATCAATTCGAGAGTTTTTTAACATCAAAACAATCTTTTCCGATAGATTTTTGAGATACACCGTAATTCTGCATTTTAAGGCTGTAACCGTATGCAAACTTTTTCTGCACAGTACACTTCCATAAACACGATCTGGTTTATTATTCTATATGTGGCTATCAAATCACAGTTCTGGGTTGGTTTATCATCTTTTTAAGTGGCTATCAACTCTGTAAATGACAGATGATGCGCATTAGGCTAACTTCGTGGACATTAATCCAGATAGAGTAAGAATAACATCCCTATTCAATCCAGATAGAGTAAAGATAACATCCCTATTCATCGATAACTGACCATGACTAACCTTTTCCTCTAAGACCCGACCATAACTTAGCAGATTGGGTTTCTACACGATCCATCAACAAGCATTAATAGGAGATTCATTATGGCTTTAATCACAGATCACCCGATTCTACTTACTGGTGTTTACAACAAATATATTGGGTTTCTATACGATCCATCAACATGGCTTTAATCATAGATCACCCGATTCAAGCGCAAGACAGTGCCAGACGGTATAAATTTTAACTGGAACTAAAGTCCCCAAAGTCGAGTCCCGAAGCAATTCGATTTCGAATACAGAATGGCTCGAAATCTAGGTTACAGCATCGAATCGGCCTAACAACTTCTCCCATCGAATGACAACAGTTCTGATGTTTGCTAATTCAGAAAACATGGGCGATTCACGAGACATCGAATTGGCTTGACATTTCTCACCCTTTTTTCATATGTGAACTTCAGACCTGATGAAAATCGATTGCTTTTTTTAAATTTATTAATGCCAACTGCTTTTAAAACACTTTAGAATGCACCACTGCAAGTCTCGACGCATTTTCCCATTCTAATCTACAGAGTTTTGGAACCTCAATCCACCTGCAAGAAGATAAATTCCTAGACTCTATTTCCAAAAAATAAAGATAAATTTCTAGACTCAAAGCAATTCCAGCTCCATTTTACAAAGAAAATTATAAATTTTTAACACAAAGGGGTGTCACGTGTTGTGATCCTTCATCTGTATCCTTTTCCACAAATCATAATAGATCAGACATCGAAAATAATCCTAAAGATCGGCTTTTTTTAGGGACAATCACTGGTTAAAAGGTCAATCGAACTATTAACGATAGAGAAAAATGTGGTAGTCCAACCAAGGTTTAGAATATAATTTTTTTATTTTAAAGGTAGTCTTTTATATTCATGATCACCATTCTCAGCACTAAATTTCTGAATCCAAAATCCACATGTATGATAGATTTTAGATGGAGGACTCGTAAAAAGGAAGCATTGCATTCATCCTACCCGTTTTGTCCTTCCAAATATTTTATTAGCTATGTACAGTACATGGACGAGTCCCTCGATCTCGCCCAAGCAACTCGACTCACACCGCCGAGTACAATACGGAAGCCACCTCTAGGAACCCTGCTTTGAAATTTCAGGCTCACATACATGGTACAATTTAATTTGTGAAAAATGAAATAAAATCAAAACGATGTAACTAGTGAAATTTCAGGCTCACACACAGTACAATTAAATATGCGAAAAATGAAATAAAATCGAAACGATGTAACTGGTGAAATTTCAGGCGCACATACATATGAGGATGGAACCCATTACTTCATGCGTGCTTGCATTACTTAAAAATTCAAACACAATTCAATCTGTGAATAATGAAATAAAATTGAAAACAGTGTAACCAGTGAAATTTCAGGCGCACAATGAGAGAGAAAAACCAAATAACAACACATGAAGCTCTTCTTTTGGCGAATAATTATCCATGGTGACTCGGCAATAACAAGTTATTCACAAGTAATATCAAACTAAAACCCACATAGAGATAGCATCAGGCATTGATTATTGTGATGCACATATAGCAAGAACTCTTATTACTTTCATAGAAGGAAGTCTTCTAATGGGGCTGGTGCCTTCCTTTTTCCTTCTCCTTCACTTCACTTCCTTGGGATTTGTCAAATTCTACAAGAACCAATGAAAATGTGAAGTAACATTGCCACTCCCCAGCAAGATCTTACCCAGAGCAAACATAAATACTTCCTAGAGAAAACAATTTAATCGAACATAACCAGTGGGCCGATCTAGATTTGGACCTCAAATACTGGACATGGTAAGTTGTCTTCAGGACCAAATGATCTAGGTCTAACTTGGGTGGGTTCAAGGTCTAGATCCATCCGAGTTGGCTCAGGTCTGGGTCAAGATCAATCGAATACGATATTATACATAATATAGATGTATATATGAATATTTTATAATCAAGCCAATTTTTTGCATCCAAGGGTGACTTGTAACAAATTTAGATGGCCTTAAAGCATATAATCCAAACATAAGCATAAAACGAACAAAGACATCTATCTTACCAGGATGGTTTTCTTCCTTCTCCACAATTTTTAATGTTTCGGAGGGATTTATGGTCCCTCCGAATCCTTCCTCATCAGAACGGGTCGCGTACCCCGCTCCAAAGGAGTGAGTGATTATATCCCTACACGTTTCAAGAATGTTAATCATACATTCAAAACCTATGTTACATGTCTGTTACATATGTATGCATGCGTGCGCGATTGTGCTTAAGAGTTGCACGCAGTCTGCACTCATCTAGAATTTAACCAGACATTGATTTCTATTGAACACCCCTAATGTGTGCAAGGAAGGAGAGGAGATGAGAGAGAGGGAGAGAGAACTTTCAAGCCCTGTTAAACCACTTTGGTGAATAAAGCCCAGACCATTAAACCCATCTTTTCCTGAACCCATGTCATCGAAAAATGGGCGAGTGTACTTGGTGGTTAAGGGAGTAGAGGGTTACCTCTCCGCTTCCAGTTCCAGTTCCAGTTCCAGTTCCAGTTCCAGTTCCAGTTCCAGTTCCAATTTCAGTTCCAGTTCCAGTTCCAGTTCCAGTTCCAGTTCCAATTTCGTTCCAGTTCCAGTTCCAGTTCCAGTTCCAGTTCCAATTTCAGTTCCAATTCCAGTTCCAGTTCCAGTTCCAATTCCAATTCCAATTCCAATTCCAATTCCAATTCCAATTCCAATTCCAATTCCAATTCCAATTCTACCACAAGTAGGGGCCCTTTTTCTTACCTCAAAAAAATTTCCCCATTTACATACGAGTCTTTTGCCAACTAACCCTAAAAAGCCTCCAAAATGAGCCATCAGACCTTGTCAAATAGCCGTAATTTCCCCATTTACATACGAGTCTTTGCCAACTAACCCTAAAAAAACCTCCAAAATGGGCCTTCAGACCTTGTCAACTAGCCGTAATTGCCCCATTTACATATGAGTCTTTGCCAACTAACCCTAAAAAACCTCCAAAATGGGCCTTCAGACCTTGCCAAATAGCCGTGTCTATGGTGTAGCCTTTGCAACACCATGAAACACTGAATTGGGAGGTTGTAGTTAGGAGACTTTTAGGGCTCCAGACCCAATTTTTTCTTGAGTTCCTTTGAAAAGTATAAATACTCTTGGAGCTTTAAGCGTCCTTTGAATAAAAAAAAGAAACAAAAAAGAAAAAAAGAAGAAGAAGAAGAGGGTGTGGTTTCCATAAGGTTGCAACCTTCAAACGATCCAATTAAGGCGCTCGTCTAAATTTTATCGTAATATGTAATTTTGATGTAAAATATTCTTAGGATTATCTCAAAATCTATTTTCATATTTAATTATAAAAAATTTAAACTCCGAAAATAGTTAAAATCAAGAAAATCTTTAATTGCAAGATACACTATTTATTGCACTAAATTTTTTTTTTTTTTCATATTCTTATAATTCGATATCGAGATGATCAATTAGAAGGTTTTTCAACCTTAAAACAACATTTTCCGATGGATTTTTGTGGTGCATATGTAATTCTACATTTTAAAGTTTGCAACCTCATATAGATTTTTTTCTAAAAAAATGATATGGATTTATACCTTGGATTCTATATGCAGCCCAATGCTGGTGAAAAACATGTTCATGCAAAACAAGTCCCCTAAAATCTGCACCGTCCAACATGGATTTTGGCTCCAATTTTATAAGGAATCATAATTTAGACTATGACAATAATAAATTATAAAATTTAAAAATTGTATTTTTAAATTTTGTCCAGACCCTTTATTTTAGATTTTGGTTGGATCACTTATTTACAGTTCAGCAAATGAATGCTTCATAGTCAGGGCACGCATGCGGCAATATCGTAATCCCACAATCCCTCATACTATGAGAAACCATAATCCATCTGTGATGAAGTTTGATGGTCCAACACAACATATTGTTTTGAAAACATGGTCTAAGAGTCTAGACAAGAGAGAGAGATAGAGAGAGAGAGAGAGAGGTTTCTTAAAGAAAGTTCCTACAAAAGACAGAGAGAGAGAGAGAGAGAGTAGGTTTCTTAAGAAAAGTTCCTCAAAAAGACAGACAGAGAGAGAGAGAGAGAGATTGATTGATTGTGAACATACCCATTATCCTCGGATGGTTTTTGGTTATGTTCAACCTTCTTCTTCTGGTTCTGATCCATCATCTTCTCTGCGTGCAAATGGGTGTCGGGCTTTTTCCCTTGGATTCAATGGATTTGCAAAAGAAGAAGTCGATCTACCTTACACTGCCACTTGTTGCAGAGCCCTCTACGTGTTGCTTTTCTTACATGGAAAGATCCACAATGCTACGTGTCATGCGCTTTTTACTAGACCCGGATTTATAAAAAAAATAAAAATAATTCATGCCTGGATGAAGACCCGACTCAAATCTAAACTCGACCCAAAATTAAAATATCTATATATTTAAATATAATTTATATGCTGAGATCTAAAAAAATATTATTGGACTCAAACTCAGACTCGGACACAAATAGAATTCGGATCCAATATATGGTCTCAGACCCGATCTATTGGGATGTGCAGCCCTCCATCAAAATTCATATTTAATATGGTATTTGAATATAAAAATCTTGGAATTTGTTAGTCTCAACTATCAAATTATGAATATGGAATTTTCAATTTTTGCAAAATAAAACAATATTTTCTGGATATTTCTTTCTATAATCCATTTTGAGATACATTAAAATCGTGATTTTTTTATGTCCATTTATAAGATGGGCATCTGATGCATGAGGAGACCAACATGTTTCAATTAACTCACCAAAACCGTGTCCAAATTTATTTATTTTTATTAGTAGCTGCCTAGATCTTGTCATCCTCTTTAGATCTAACTCTTCCAAAGTAGATGACACCTATTGAGATCCAACTTACCAGTGTTTTAATATATATAAAAAGAGAAGTATATAATAAACTCAATTATCTTGTATACAACAATGTCACTAACAATATTGGTTATTATTGATCAATTTTAAACTTTGTGACATAACTCTATATAAAATAATTACGAAATAGCTAAACCTTTGAAGTTTGTTAATGGGTTGAGAGAAGGTTAAATCTTGAGGTTAGGAGTCGTAATTATTTTATAGAGTTCCAAGAGTGAAAAGACGATATGCTTTGGAAATTACATTTTCTCTTGTGAAGTGCAGTGCGGTTGTGCTACCATTACACCCCTAACCAAAAATTGGTATTTATGCACTCTGAATATTGGATGTAACTTATTTTTGTGGCCAACATTTTAGGACATAACCTCTTCCACTTCATAGACCTTAAGCATAAATTGGTATTTTATAGACTCTGCATTGGATTGCTGGATCTAGATCAGTGATTTATAAAAGATTATAAATTATAAGATAAAATACAAATTAAAACAAGATTTTATGGTGTGGGGATTTTGGCCACCTAAAAGAATTAGAAAAACTTTAAAAGAAAAAAATAAAATAGACAGATGGGGATTAGCGGATAATTGGGCTTGGGTTGGGACATGTAGTTTCTCAAAACCAATTTGGTCCCTACTGATTCCTGGCCTAGATTGACGATTCCTTATCTTGATCACCGGATTTTAAGACATGGGTGTATCTTATACGTAGAAAATAACTAGTCAAGTTAGGCGTGATCTAATTATATCTAGACCCAAATCCAACCCGACTTGGTTTTCACCACTATTTAAAAATTTGGTGCCTCGATCCGGAATCGGACGATCCGAATTGGGAATCGGCTGGACCGTTGCGAATCTAGCCATAAAATGGCATCCGGCCGATTTGCTACAGTAAATCACATGTATGATGTCTTGGATCGGTGTGTGATGTCAGGGATAGGTGATTTGCTATAGTGAATCGTCGAGTCTTGCTGAGTCCGTGAAACTATGGTCTATTTGTAAAAACATGGGTGTATCTTATACATAGAAAATAACTTGTCGAGTCAGGCGTGATCCAATTATGTCCAGATCCAAACCCAACCTGACTTGGTTTTTCACCGGTATTTAAAATTCGGTGCCCTGATTCGGAATCGAGCGATCCAGATTGAGAATCGGTTAGACCATCCTGGATCTGGCCATAAAACGGGATCTAGCGGATTTGTGTGTACGACGTCAGGGATCGACGATTCGCTGTAATGAAAACAACATCTCAATATTCACATATTTTTACAAAGTAAGGAAAGTACATAATGCATTATTCCTAATTTTTTAAGAAACGAAAATAACATATTTTTAAAGATTTATGGTGATTTTTTGAAAACAAAATTGAGACAAAATTTATGATTCGGCCGATTCTCTGATCCGATCCACCAATTCGACATGAGTACGGAAATGCACGATTCGGGTCGTCAATATGCTGTTTTAAATACTCGTTTTCACATCCATACTTCTAAAACTAGACCCTAGACATATACCGAGCTAAAGCTATACCCGAACCCAAGTTGGGGTCGAATCGACCCAACCCGACTGCGACCAAAAGAGTGAAGGGTTTACCGATCCTCGACCGCCCACCGTGACATGCAAATGGCGGATGCAGGGATGATGGCACGATGATAAAATAATGAATTGAAATGACAAATGAGTCAGTGGGTTCACGTGGGTTAATAGGGGGTGGCAGCGGCTTGCACCTGGTGCGAGAGACAAGCCGACCATCACGCAGGTGATGGCTCACTCTCTCTCTCTGCTCACGAATGCGTGCCCAGTACTTCTATTTTCATAGGACGTATCCCGTCATCGTAGGACTTTATTCATTGCTCACGTAGCGTTGGCAAGGAGCTGGGTCTGTAAAGGTCCGGCCCTCATCTGCACGGACCCGGCTCCATCCCGGCCCTAGTCCAGGTATAGAGAATCCCGAATCAAGCCAGGCCGACTCTGTGCCTAGGCCCAAGACCGATTCACGGGCCACATTTGGTCGCCTAAGCATTGCATTATTTTGTTTTAGAGATAAGCGACCTGACTAATTGCCACCTTGTGTTTGCATTTCTTTTCACCTTCCCTCTCTCTTTAGATTTTATTTGACTCACCCAAATACGTCTTAATTTTATTTTCGTAGGCTTTAATTCGACTGTTTAGAACCTAAACTCTATACAAATTGCACTTTTTTTTAAAATTCAATTTTAGCCATCTTTTTGTATAGGAAAATTGTTTCATGCGGGCTTAGAGCGCAAGACTACATATGCGGGTCCAAAGAGTGTAATGCATCCATCTTAAAGATAGATGCAAGTGGGTGTTCCATTTAAAAGCAATGGAAACTAACTGTCCAAATATTTTCTTACTAGAATTATTATTTTTAGTTTTAAAAATTTACTTATTTTTTCATATTCATGATCTCCATGTTAGATATTACATGTCCTTAAAAATTAAGTCTAAAAAAATTTCTAGATATGTGGGCTTGGCCATATCAAAACCGGGTCCTTTTATATATTGATCTTAGGGATAGATGTTGAGTATGGTTTGGATAAGGTTGAGGCTCCAAACAATCAAAGTAAGGCGCACATTCAAATAGTATCGAAAGATGCCGTTTCAGCATAAAAAATCCTTAAGATGGATGAAAATAAATTTTTAGCTTAAAAAATTAAGTGCACATCAAGTATATTTATAAACATTTGAAAATCTACAAAATTGGCCGTCTAGATAATAATGCATTACAAGACGCATTAATATTTTTTTATATCCATGTATCTCAAGTTCAAGATGTTGGATTTGAAAGTTTTCAGCATAAAAACAACTTTTTCTACTTATTTTTTTTTTAGGTACGCTCAACCTTGTATAAACTTTTTCTTAGATGTTTGATAAACAAGAGACCGCATGGCAATAGTGAGTCCGCTGACTCACCAAAACCGTGGCAATCATCTAAATCTCTTCTCTCTCTACAAATAGGGCCCACGTGGCACGTTTATGAAACTTTAGCAGCCGGAACCAGATTGGCATGTCATGATGGGACATGACCACCTCATTTTCTTCTTTCTCCTCCTCGCTTTTCAAAACTACCTGCGTTTGTTACAAGTACTACATTGCCCATGATCTCTCACAAAAACTCAAAACTAGCCATAACTAATGTAACGTTTTTTTTGTTGTTTATGTAATGTTGCAATTTTAAAAAATCCAATTAAAGCGCACCTTCAAATTTAATTATAACATATAATTTTGATAAAAAAAATTTATAAAATTTATCTCAAAATCTAATTTTATATCTAATTGTAAAATTTTAATCTAAAAAAATAGTTAAAATAAAGTAGCTATATAAACATATAAAAATCTTGAAAATAGATGGTCTACAAGATGAATTATTTCCGAGACTCGATATCTCTTTCCTTTTTTATATTCATACATCTCCATTATTTTCGAGACTCAATATATTTTTCCTTTTTTATATTCATACATCTCCATATGGTGATGATCAATTAGAAGTTTTTTCAATATTAAAACAAGCTTTTTTGATGGTTCTTGAGGTGCATCAATAAATTTTATCATTACAGTCGGCTCACCTCCTACGACCCGAATATGAACAAATGATTATTGATCCAAAAATACATCTATAGTCATACTTCCAAAGGACTACATAAAAGTTTCCCTCATTATTCTTACTTTTGAAATCCAAAATAAGGGAGCTCACATGCCCCATTCCTCTTTTTTTAAGTTAGGTAGGTGAAAGCCCCTTATTTGCCCGTTGTACAACTAGATAACGGCTACATCGTAGTATTCAAATTCAAATTTTCAAATTACATATTTAAATGAGAAACATATGAACTTACGCGCATATAAAGAGAGGAGATCGTGGATTCAAATCACACAATTTATGCAAGAAGTATGTTTGGTTTCTAGCAGATAATCTGAAGTACGACATTTTACGATCCAAATCTTCATAAATTCAGTTCATATATTTTATAAAATTCGGTCCATTGTTTTCTTAACGTTTCATACTTTTTACCCCACAAGTGACAACATAACAAAGTTTTTTGTGAATTTCAAGAGTTAGTGGTGTTTCAAAACCCCTCCACTGTACCGATTCGAATCGACAATATGCTAGTGTCAAAAAATATTAGAACATAAAAACTTATATTATGTGTGAATGAACCGAGTGGTTCAGTTAGTACAACCACTCGGGTCATTAATTACCCAAAAAAAAAAAAAAAACCACTTGGCTCATTGAGCCAAACCAATTCCAAATTCCATAAAATTGCTGGGTTGGTCCCCGACTGAATTCGATCTGAATAAGCAAATTTTAAAACATTGGAGAAGGTTAATTTTTGTTCCCTTGCTTATTGAACTTGGCACCAATCTAAGATGGGCATGCATGCATGTGCTTTTGCACAATCGACTCACCAAAGACAAGACACACACATGTAATACTTTAAAAATACAAATATGTTTTTTCACCTTTCTTCTCAACGTCTCTTGCAAAAGTACTTAACATTACTCATTATCCAACCTTTTCCCTTCCTAAATTATGTATTGACATGTAGTGTTGTAAAGACTAATTTAAGATTGACGTTTCAAAAATTAAAATCACCCTTAGGGCTTAATTTTATATGTAATAAAAAAAAATAAAAAAAAGTTTGAAACAAAATATGATAACACTTTACCTAGGTGAAGAGTCCAAGTATATGAGAAAAAGTAAAATACTTGTTCAAAAATGTCGAAATTTGGGTTGAACTTATGATGCTTTAATATTTCCTCAAATTTGCTCTCACAATTCATCCATCAATTTTTAGATTTTTAAGCTGAAACAGAGTACTATAGCGATAGGAATGTATGTTAGACCTCAAATATAGTTCAAATTGATTAGGAAATGGTGTCTATTCTCAATTAAGCTTTTGCTGAATTTAGGAGCTACTCCATGAAAGCCGTTGCTTCTGTTTTAGCCTTGATTCACTATCACACGTCTTGCCTCAAAGCATTTAGTAGTGCTACTTCTAAATGGAGTAACACTTGTTTGGCCACATAGTAGAATTACAATCGAAAACACCATTTAAAAAACACAGGCTCTGGCTTTGTTTTGCAGGGGTCCAAGCCGGAGCCCACTCGAACATACTTGAGTCCAGTTCGGACCGAGCGATTTTCAATAAGAGAAATTCAAAAAATTTGGAGATACAGGCAATCGTAGAGTAATTATGCTTGGAATCATTTCAGTGTTAATTTAGTCTGAACCAGATGGTGGACTTGCAATTTTCTGGACTCTGATAACGTTTAAGAAAAATAGAACCCCAGTCAGACTTTTGAGGTTAGTTGTTTTGTATTTTTACAAAGACACGGATACATGTATCGGCGGTGTAGGAGATAGATTTAAGTGTCTGTCAAATTTGTCAACCCCAAAATTCATTTTCAGATAAAAAAGGTTACATTATTAAAGGGTACGGTTTGTATAGAGTTGAGGCTCAAAAAAATCAAAGTAAAGCGTAACTTCAAATAGTATCGAGAAATGTAGTTTCAATACTTGAAATCTTTGTAATATCTGTAAAATATATTTTTATCTTTAATTATAAAATTTAAAGCTTAAAAAATAAGATCAAGCATATCTATGAAAACTTGAAAATCGTGAAAATTGATAGTCTAAAAATGCGTTACAAGATGCATTATTTCCAAAACTTGAAATCCATTTTTTTTCTCTTGTCCATGCATCCTTGATGTCGAGATGATCAATTTGAAGATATTTGAGCACCAAAACAACCTCTTCTAGTGAAATTTTTTAGGAGTGCTCTAATTTGATTGTTTAGAGCCTAAGCTCTATATAAACTTTTTTCTTATTTAAATAAAGGGCAAGGTGGGATTTCAGGGGATGCTAAAGCACTATTATAGTGATATTTCTATGATATAGGTCAACATAGAAAAAAAACTTTAAAGTGTCAGACACGAATGTTATACTTTAAGCTTATCGACATGCACTAGCCATGGTGCATATATAATTTTGAACCCTTGATATCAAGGTGTTGGTGTTGGTGGTGATATAATTTTGAACCCTTGATATCAAGGTGGTGGTGGTGGTGACTACAAATAATGCATAATAACATATTATATAAATGTCCACAAACAATATATCTTTAAATGCTAAATTTGATCACCCTATCTAAGGCCCCATTATTGTCTAGGGCTCCTAGTGATGGATAATTAAAGACCATTCCCCATTGTGGCAACTTCTATATCTGTTTAAATAGACTTTGCCAAATAAAGAAAATTGCATGTTTATCAAGTCCAAAGATGACAACGACATTAACTTTAAAAAAGAAACTCATCCTCTCCTAATCCAAATTTCATTCTGATTGCCACCTATGAAGACGCTGTTGAGGGACAAAAACTATATTTCTCAAACAGATACATGTGCATGTCGTAAATGTAATTATTCTGAAATGCAGATCTCAAAATTAACATTTTAAACAGGACACATCTATAATCATTTTTAAAAAAATGAGTATTTAAATGTTAAGTGATATAAAAAATAGGTATAAGTAGCAGTGTTTATGTTTAGAAAGCATCAAACTCTCAAGCGCGTGTCATGCAATGTTGTCAGATTCACTTTGGAGTCTTTTAAGTTTGGTGAGTAAAATGAAGCAATTTGATTTTTCAATCGATTTTAGGAAAAACTTCAGACTTTTTAGTAATTTAATATAAATAAATTAGATATTTATATAAAAATAATAAAAAATTTCAATATATATATATATATATAGGGAAAAGTTTATATAGAGCCAAGGCTATAAACAATCAAGTTTGAACCTACCTCAAAATTTCACTAGAAGAGGTTGTTTTGATGCTCAAATATCTTCAAATTGATGATCTCGACATCAAGAAGCATGGACATGAGAAAAATTTGGATTTCAAGTTTTGGAAATAGCATTTTGTAACACATTTTTTGACTGTCAAATTTCAATATTTTCAAGTTTTCATATATCTGTCGATCTACACTATTTTTTAAGCTTTAAACTTTATAAATAATCATGTTTGTGGTATTTGTATGATCCCATATTTTGCACACACACTCTCTTCATCTCAATAATTAATCCTCAAAAAAAAAGTTCAATTTGAACCCTAGATATGGTCAAAATGAGTTATCTCTAAAAATTAATCTAGACAATTCATTTTGTGAATTTCAAGATCTTAGCCTTTATAAACTAAGAATCATTTTTGTTTGTTAACATTATTCATCTAATGATAATAAAGCCCTCCAAAAAAATTGAAAATGAAAAAATCCTTCTAAAGCCTAGATCTAAGCATCTCACCAAAATGAACGGCATATGTTAATTAGGCCAAAAAAATACTTTCTAGGTTGTGTTTACAATTTTTTTTTTTTTTTTTGTTGATTGCTCATTAAAATGAAAAGAATGTATATTTCAAAATTTGGATCAAACAAATGGCCATAAGATGGTTTTTTAACATCATTACATCATATTACTATACAACGATTGCATTATATCATTGCTTATATATATATATATATAGGATATTCTAAACTTCACAACCCTTCAAATTACAAAGGTTCAAGATATAGAGAGTTGTGAAGGGTAGATTTATTAATTTTGTTGTCTATTTTTTAAAACAAAAGATACTTTTGTAGGGTAAATTAGTATATATTATTATAAGACAAAGGGTATTTTTGTCATTTCCATAAGGGGTAAAATTGAAGTCCTAACTAAAGGTCCAGTACATTCTTCAATAAAATTTCAGAATACTAACTTCCAAAACACCATTTTACTTCTGTGAAAATTTCAAATTTGTCATTGCTTAATGGTAAAGTTACCTATTTAAATAGTTTTTTTAATAAAAATGTAATAATTGTTTTGATAAATACACCCATGACAACTCCTTCTAACTTGAACCTTTCTATTTTGACGGGTTGTTAACTCTAGACAAACCCATATATATAATAAATAGTGTTATAGGTGGAATGGGAATTTTCAGATATTCATTATATGGTTCAGAATGCATATCACTATTTTAATTTTAATTATTTTTTTATAAGTCAGATCATAATAAAATTTCGTACGTGTGTACTAAAAATTAGGGCGCACAAAAAAAAAATATAAAACATATTTATCATAATATAAAATGATCAAAACAGTCAAAATACAAAGGTTCAAGTTAGAAGGGGTTGTGATGGATAACAAAATTAATAAATCCACCATTCACAA